CTTATCCTGATGGCAGACAGCTCATATTGTTCTGTCAATATATAAGGAGACGCACACAAACTGAAAGTAGACCTTTATTTGTAAACAAACCTGGATGACTTATATTTTTCTTTTCTTAATCTCATTGAATTTGTAAATGCAGACTCCAGATAAGACAAGTAGAAAACGTCGTTTCCTAAAAATTCAGCCCTAAACTATGAGTGACAACACATGAAATTAATAAAACAAGTTACCTGCTTCGTTCCTACCGCAATATTTTCATCAAAATATCTTTATAAACTAAAGTTTTCATTCATTTTTCTTCTGGTCACATTTTTTCATGGGGGCCGCCATGTTGTTTTCTTATCGTCTGCCACTTCTGTGTTATGATTGGCTAAGAATACGGGTTTCTGTAAACACCAAAATACAGCCGAATGTGTAAAAAACAAACTATAATAAGCTTCAGACTACAATTAAATGTTTATTAAAAACAGTTGTTCTGTCCCTTTTAAATTGAAAGGGTGTTAGAAAATTAAGTCGGATACTTTGCTGACCCTTGATCACTCAACAATAAAACAATCTTGTCGAAAAAAAGCAGTTAGGGGAAGAGGGTCTAGTTCAGTCAACATAAAAAGTAGAGGCTTTACAGGGTTAAAACTAGAAGAAGCCCCAAAATCCCCACTTTCATACCACGATCAGTACATTCAAGAAGAAATACAGGCTTTGACCATCCCACTAATAACTGACTTTGTTAAATAAGGCCATATAAATAATAATGTTTTTACCTGTTTGGAAGTTTGATATTGTACTGTATGTAGTTTTAATTTAAGAAATAATTTTCTGTATTCAATTTATGTCAAAGAGGAATAATGGGTCACCCTTTAACTAAAGGTGTGGATTACATGGTTCTCTTCCTGTTACTATAAAGTATAATTTATCATGTGCTTTCCCTGGTGTACAATCTAATTCAATTTCAGGATTTCATGATGCAAGAAAGTAGACTATTGTAGTCAAGGTATTAGACCAAGTGGGTATTAGCTTGACATTGTGAAGATTTCCCCTACCTTTCTATAAGATTATCGTATTTTCACTTCAGTTTAATACCCCTTGTTTCAGCATTGGGGCCTGGTGGTTTATTGACATTGGGACCTGGTGGTTTATTGACATTGGGGCCTGGTGGTTTATTGACATTGGGACCTGGTGGTTTATTGACATTGGGGCCTGGTGGTTTATTGACATTGGGACCTGGTGGTTTATTGACATTGGGGCCTGGTTGTTTATTGACATTGGGGCCTGGTTGTTTATTGACATTGGGGCCTGGTGGTTTATTGACATTGGGGCCTGGTAATTAATTGCCACTTGGGTTTTGACTTTGTCCTAAGGTATACGGCTGACTACTGCTCAAGTCTACCTTTAAGAAAAGTAGGATGTAAAACTTCAATCATTTTGTCAGTCTGCTTTTATGAGACGAGAAACAATAAATTGAGAATGTAGATGACCGTTAACATGGTGACGTCGTTGATATACTGAAATATTCACAGATTAGAGAATTAAGATCTAAGCAACTAATTACAGAATGACTATGTGACATCTTGCACCCCATTGGTCTATAGACATGTAATATCACAACTCAAACATCATTACATCTATTCTGTAGGACATCACCCTTACTTTTATATTGTTTGTATCAAGAGTGACTCTGTGAATCTTGAAATTGAAGTTAAAAATAAGATTATTCATCCATTTCTCTTCTTCCTTCTGTCTATCTATCCATGAATGAATGAAGTAAGAAGTTAAAAATAAGAAAGGAAGGGAGAACCTTTACACCAGAAGAAATTGTGACAGACCAGGAGCAGTCCTTAGATGTTCCTTCATACAACAATGATAAAGATAAATCCTTGATACCAATATATTTACTTTGTCTTGTAGAAACGAGTTAATTTGGATTCTAAAATGAGAGTTTCTGTAACTGAGACAGGATTTCTTTCAGAAACAAACATGTAAACACCAGATGATCAAGTGTACTGATTTATCTAAAATTTCAGAAAACAAAAAGACATTGTATTATCTTTTGTCTAGTGTATCAAACAGCTGTTCAGGTTGACAAAACAAACCAGAAATTACCCAAAGATTGATTTTTTTAAAGTGTAACCAATTCTGTGAGAATGGAAGACATTCAAAATATAATCCATGTTGTATATTCAAGTCTATTCAAGACGAGATCTTCCTAAAAACAACATGGTGAGTATAATTTTGATTTTCAGACACGTCTAAAGAGGGATATTCAATGCGGTCAACTGGGATTTGAAGCAGCTCAACTTTCAGGACTGTGTCCAAGGTAGGAGAACCTAAAGGGAGGTGTACAGCTTTCAGGACTACGTCCTAGGTAGTGGAATCAATTGCTAACCAGTAATAGATGATGTTGCTGACATCAAAGATCAAGGCCAGGAGGTCATATTGACCATCTCTAGTTACCAAGACCCGGAGCTTGTTGACTTAGCTCCTATACCTCTTTGGGCTGTATTATTTATTTTTATATGATCCTTATAGACTGTCCTAGATATCGTAAACTAAGACCTAGTCCACACACCTGCCTGGTTTAATCTCAACCAGAATCTAATTTCTTCCCTCCACTGATCAATGATCAAACATAAAGATTTGGTTGTTAATATCAAGAACAAAATTCCATCAGCCAATATCAAATTCTAATTTTTAGCCATTGATAATCTAAATAAAAGAACAATACAATGAACAGTGCTTTCTGTAAGGAGCCAAACATCAACTTACATCTAAAACAACCCAGTTCTAAATGTGACAATCTAAGAAAAATTCAGTTCAATTCCTAGAAACTCCATTTTAAAATTCAAACAAACTCAAATCTTCAAGACAAAGTAAATAGATTGGTATCAAGTATTTATCTTTATCAATGTTATATGTTGGAAATCGAAAGGAAAAACTCTGGGGTATCTCAAATTCTTCTATTGTAAATATACCCTCTTCCTGTCCATTTCAAACTTCTCATTTCATTCATCCACTGGATAGATAGACAGAATATGGAAAAGATGAATGAATGAATAAGCTTCAAGCCAGGCTGTATTTGTGGAACATTGCACTGTAAAATATATTCTATGAAATAACACAAATTAAATTTATGAAATAATTAAATATAACGAAATGATTTGGAGTTTTACATCCTAGATTTCAGCACCGAATTGACCTGATAATGTAGAGACAAGCCAGGACAGAATCTTTGAATTATACTTTACCTGTAATAATAGCAGCATTCCCCACAGGAATCCGCTCTCAGTTCCCAATAAAAAGCAATGGATGGGGGAGGCTCTAATTTGGTTGAGAAGTGTCAACTCTATTTGGAAATAAAAATAGATACCTGTGGTAAAAACCATTATAATTTCAAATCTATTCTTCCAATTATTGATTTCCTCAAATATAAGTAATTTTAGAACACTAAGACAAGGTGGTGGGGAGGGGCTTTGAGACTTTACATGTACAAGTAGGTTATACCAGTGACAAAAACACTGCAACACCATAATGTATCCAAATCACTACACCACCATAAAGTGTCAAAAACACTGCAACACCATAATGTGTCAAAAACAGCGCCATTCCAGCCCTCTGTCATTTCAACAAATATTTGCAGATTTCATTCACTTAATAGTATTTAGAAATAGAGGTTAACTTACCAATAATGTTGATGACATGAACATATCACTAATACTATAACTGTTTTTAACTTTATCATATCTTACAACTATAACAGTAGGCTGACAGTTTGATTCAGAAATCTTTTCTTGAAGCTGAAAGAAGTGTAAATCATCATTTATTTAGAATTTGTAACTTATCCTGATGGAGGACAGCTCATATTGTTCTGTCAATATATAATGAGACGCACACAAACAGAAAGTAGACCTTTATTTGTAAACAAACCTGGATGACTTATATTTTTCTTTTCTTAATCTCATTGAATTTGTAAATGCAGACTACAGATAAGACAAGTAGAAAACGTCGTTTCCTAAAAATTCAGCCCTAAACTATGAGTGACAACACATGAAATTAATAAAACAAGTTACCCGCTTCGTTCCTACCGCAATATTTTCATCAAAATATCATTAGAAATTGGAGTTTTCTTCCATTTTTCTTCCGGTCACATTTTTTCTTGGGGGCCGCCATGTTTTTTTCTTATCGTCTGCAACTTTTGTGTTTTGATTGGCTAAGAATACAGGTTTCTCTAAACACCAAAATACAGCCGAATGTGTAAAAAACAAACCATAATAAGCCTCAGACTACAATAAAATGTTTATCTTAACATTAAAACAAATAAAATACAAAAGAGTATAAATCTCGGTGAGTAATAGATGAGTAATCACTTTGTAACCGATAAGTAATTACTTTGTAGCCGGTGAATAATCGGTGACTAATCACTTGGTAATCAGCGAGTAATCATTTTGTAATTTGAGAGTAATAGATGAGTAATCACTTTGTAACCGAGAAGTAATCACTTTGTGGTGGACTAGTAATCACATTGTAATCAGTGAGCAATCTCTTTTTAACCGGCAAGTAATCCCCTGTAATAGGTGAGATATCCCTTTGTAATCGGTGAGTAATAACTTTTTTTACCGGTGAGTAATTGGTGGGTTATCACTCTGTAATCACTTTGTAATCGGTACGTAATTACCTTCAAACCGGTAAGTAATCCCTTTTTTTTTTATCGGGGTGAGTTATCATTTTTTAATCGGCGAGTAATCCCTTTTTTTATTGGGGAGTAATTACCTTCTTATCGGTAATTAATCACTTTTTTTAACGTTGAGTAATCCCTTTGTTATCGGTGAGTAATCGATGAGTAATTACTTTTGTTTAGCGATGTGTAATTGAAGAGTTATCACTTTGTAATCACTTTGTAATCGGTGAGCAAATACCTTCTAACCGTTAAGTAATACCGTTTTTTTTTATTGGGGTGAGTAATCATTCTATTTCGGTGAGTAATCACTTTTGTTGTTTATCGGTCAGTTATCACTTTTGTTGTTTATCGGTGAGTAATCCCTTTTTCATCGGTGAGTAATCACCATTTCGTTGAGTAATTGGTGAGTTATCACTTTATAATCATATAATAGAGTTATCTCCCTTACAATATCAGACTATTGAAGTCAATCTTGTCGAGAATAATATAATAGCGTTATCTCTCTTATAATATCAGTCTATTGAAGATAATGTTGTTGAAAATTATATAATAGAGTTATCTACCTTAAAATATCAGATTATTGAAGTCAATGTTATCGAAAAAATATAATAGAGTTATCTCCCTCACAATATCAGTCTATTGAAGATAATGTTGTTTCAAATTATCTAATAGAGTTATCTCCCTTACAATATCAGACTATTGAAGTCGATGTTGTCGAGAATAACCCTAACCCAAGTCAATGTCGTTGAGAACAATGAAATAGAGTTATCTCCCTTACAAATTCAGTCTTTTGAAATAAATGCTATTGAGAATAATAGAATAGAATTATCTCCCTTATAATAGCAGTGTTTTAAAGTCAATATCGTTGAGATCAATAAAGAATAGTTATCTCCCTTCCAATATCACCCATTTGTATTTATATTGTCTAGAACAATATAATAGAATTATCTCCCTTACAATATTAGTCTTTTGAAGTCAATTTCGTTGAGAACAATATAATCGAGTTATCTCCCGTACAATATCATTCTTTCAAAGCATATGTTAAGAACAACATAATAGAGTTATCTCCCTTGCAATATTAATCTATTGAAGTCAATGTTGTTAAGAATAATATAATCGAGTTATCTCCCGTACAATATCATTCTTTCGAAGCATATGTTGTTAAGAACAATATAATAGAGTTATCTCCCTTACAATATCAGTCTATTGAAGTCAATGTTGTTAAGAATAATATTATCGGGTTATTTCCCTTACAATACCAGTCTTTTGTATTTATGTTATCGAGAACAATATAATCGAGTTATCTCCCTTACAACTTCAGTCTTTTAAAGTCAATGTTGTTGAGAATTTTATAAGAGATTTATCTCCCTTACAATATCAGTTTACTGAAGTCAATGTTGTCGAGAATGATATAATAGCAATATCAGTATATTGAGAGCAATGTTGTCGAGAATAATATAATCTTTTAAGTCAATGTTTGTAATAACTTTAATTGATATATAGAATCGAGTTATCTGGCATTATTACAACATAAACTTTAATTGATATATAGAATTGAGTTATCTCCCTTTATTACAATATAAACTGTAATTGATATATTAAATTGAGTTATCTCCCATTATAACAAT